TGGTGTGGTGGCATGTCCCTGTAGTCTCAGCTACTTAGGAGGCTGAGGTTGGAGGACTGCTGAGCCCAAGAGCTGGAGGCTGCAGTGAGTTATGATCATGCCACCACACTCCAGCCTGGGTGACAGTAGGAGAACCTATCAATAAAAAATAAAAAAGAAGGGCAGCGCCCGTGGCTCAAAGGAGTAGGGCACAGGCCCTATATGCTGGAGGTGGTGGGTTCAAACCCAGCCCTGGCCAAAAACTGCAAAAAAAAAAAAGAGAAGAAATGAAGGCAAAATAAAGAAAGACATTTTCAGATTAAAGCCTGATATAAATTTGTTGCTAGCAGACCCACATCAAAAAAATATATTAAAGAGAGGTCTTCTCGTTAAAAAATCGGAAAAGAAAAGAAAATGATGCCAGATGAAAGCCCAATTGTGCAAGAAGAGTACTACTGAGAAGGGTAAAAATGTTGACAATACTATATCAGGATTGACTGTTCAAAGCAGTATAGTAATGTCTTCTGAAATTTAAAAAATAAAGAGAATTTGGAAGAATGGTAACAAATGGAGTTAAAGAAGTATAAGATTCTTTATAACTCATGATAAATGGTAAAGTAACTAATTCAGGCTGGGAAATCAAGGTTGCTTATTGCCATCATTAGGATAATCACTAAAAGAATAACCATATATAATTACCAACTAAGAGAAAAGAAAGTGAACTGGTAAAAGATACTAGTTAAATATAAAAGAAAACAAAAAAGAAAGCAAAATATTAAAACAAAAGATAGCTGGGAAGTAATACTAATATCAGAAAAAAAAAATGCTATTGGCACAAGAAGTATTACAGTGAGGCTGGTGCAGTGGCTCTTGCCTGTGATCCCAGCACTCTGGGAGGCTGTGACCAGTGGATTGCTTGAGCTCATGAGTTCTAGACCAGCCTGAGCAATAGAGAGCCCTTCTCTAAAAATAGAAGGGCGTTGTGGCAGGCACTTGTAGTCCCAGCTACTTGGGAGGCTGAGGCAAGAGGATTGCTTGAGCCCAAGAGTTTGTAGTTGCTGTGAGCTATGATGCCAGGGCATTCTACCGGGGGCAACAAAGTGAGATTCTGTCTCAAAAAAAAAAAAAAAAAGTATTACAGAAAGATATAGATAGGGACATTTTACAATGATAAAACAGTGAAGACAGCAGAAAGCTGTAACAATCCTAAATGTTTATTTGCTTAATAATCAGTCTCTAAATGTAAAATTATTTTTAAATAAAACAACTTAAACGAGAAATAAGCAAAACCACAATCACAGAGATGAGTTTTGACAGGTATCTTTTATTACTGATATAACAAGAAGTCAAAAAATCAGTAGATATATACAAGACTTGGAAAACATTATTATTTTTTTT